ATTCTTATTAGAAATACATGAGATTTCTATTGTAAGAGTGTTGACAAGCTCATGAAGATCTGTAATAGTTACATATCTATTCTCACTTCTATTAGATGTAGCATCCATAATCTTTCCTTCCATAGGCAATCCAAACAAATCTAAAAAGTTAAATTAAAAGAAGATAATCTGCAACCTCTGAAAAATAAATTCTACAAAGAGGGGTAATCTACTTTCTTTAACGAAAGATCAATACTAAAAAATAAGATTTTTTTTGTCTAAAAGGTGGGTAGTCCACAACCTTCAAATACAACAATAGAAGTAGATTAATCCATTCACTTCCAAAACAAGACAAAAATAATATGTTAGCACTCTTATTAATTTATCAAAGACATGAATCTTAAAAAAAGAGAATCCTTGATACACTCTTGTGTCACTAAAGAGAACTAAAAAGTCATTCAAATGGTATTATAATATTAATAAGAATGGCTATTATCAAAATCAAGAAGACTAGAAAGACTTGAAACAAGACTAATGACTAGAAAGGCATTGACAAGAGTGAAGAAGGCTTCACTCTTACCTCCATATATACTCTTAATTAGGAGCTATATGGAAATGTCCGATAGGCCCTCCAAAACATGTTGAATTTGCTAGCCACATGTCTTAACTTGCAAGGCAAGTTACCTATGTATGCGCTACAAAGTTAGTTTGTTTCACAAGCTATTGCACGAAGTTAACTTATTCCATAAGCTACTAACATGTAGTTAATTTGTTGGCCAAGTTTTTGACCTACAAATATATGTAAAATTAAAACCATATCTATGAAGCTTCTAAGAAGCTTCATTAATAGACTTTATGAAATTAATCTATATTTACCTATTTCTACTTAATCATATAAGTATTTATTGTGATAAATGTATATGTCTGTGACATATGTACTCTTTATAGATTTATTTTTGTATAGATTTTTGCTTGATTTAATTGATTAAGAAGTCTTGCTATCAAAGATAAATGATGCATATTCTTGATTGTCATCTTGTTAGGTCCTTGATAATCTATACACATCCATAAAGATTCTTATTTTTTCTTTACAAATAAGATAGGAGTCTTGGTTGGAGATTTAGAATGGCATATAAAGTTCTTAATCAAGTTCTCATAAATATACTCTTTGATTGCAACTAACTCATTTTGTGATAAGCTATAGATTGATACAAATGGTGGTTGAATTCTTTCTTAAAGATCAATGGTACAATCATAAAGATGCTACTCCAAAAGAATATCTATATTTTTCTTTTTAAAAACATCCTAGAAATCTTGATACTAGTTAAGAATATCACTTGATATCTTCTCACTTTCAACAATGGGCATGGCATATATAGCAAAAGATGGTCCTTAATTTGCAGCATGTATGAATCCTTTTGTACTTATTAATAAGGGTTTGAATAAACTAGACTTATGGATTTCTACTTGTCTAGCAAGACCTTGGACTAAACTATAGAAAAAATCAAGCTTACAAGAAATCCAGTCTATCTAAGGATTATATCTTCTTTACCATGATAATCCTAAAATGATTGGATTAGAAGGAGATTTAATCACATTAAATATTATTAAACTATTGTAACCACTAATTGCTACTTCTACAAGAATAGTTTCATGAGTAACATCCTCAAAAGATATTGAACATCCATCTATTACTTCTACATGCACATGTTTGAATTTTTTAAACTAAGGATATATCTTATTTTTTAATAAAGTCTTCATCTATAAAACAAGTTGAGGCTCTTGAATCCTACAAGGCTAAGACTTTATAATTTTTTGGTCCTATACAAACTTCTATTGTAAAATAAGATGAGGGATCAAAAGAGAAAATAAGACCTTTACTAGATATTGGACATGATTCTAGCTACATGGTTCCTATTGCAGCTGGAGCAATTTGTTTTTCGACACATTGTCTTCTTTGGCAATTATGCTTCTTCTTTTATAATTGCATTATTTTTTTGGACAATGTTGAATAATATTTTTAGCTTCTCTATAATACATGCATAAGCACTATTGACGTCATTGACTCTGTTCTTGTTTTGTGAGGGATTTAAAACATATCATATTAATTTACATTGATTTTAGCCTTGATGAATAAGTTTTTGAAAACTTAGGAGCTGTCGTCATTATTTGATTTGTTCCTCTTTAGCCATATCTTTGTTCTTGACATCTTTTAAATAATTGATTGTTACATGCAATGGCTTGAGCAATAAATTATTCTAAAGATTTTATCTTTGGTATTGTCAGTAATAAATCTTTGACATTATCCTTCAATCCATATTGAAATTGATTAATAAGGGCTTTGTCATTCCACTCTATGTCACAAATGAGATTTTGGAATTTAGTAGCATATATGGTGGCTGACCATGATTCTTACTATAAAGATAACAGCTTGGTCTCTGCTACTCTTTCTTGATCACTTTCTTTGAATGTAGCTATAAATACTTTTAGGAATGAATTCAAATCATAATGGAGTGGCAAATCTTTTTCCATTAAAAGTACATATGAAGAAATAACACATTCTAATAGAAATGTATCTATGAATCCAACTTGAGTAAATCCATCGAGATATTGGAAATAATGTAATCTTAGATAGAACTTGACTTATTGCAAAACTCCTCAAAACTTTGATCTTATTCCATCAAACTTCTCAGGCATACTTATCCTTGTCTCCATCATACTTGTAAAAAGAAAACTCCTAGGATTTGATTTTGAGGTCGATCTACTTGTTTCTTTCAATTGCACAACTTCTTGTCACAGACTTTGAACTTCTTCTATAGGTGTAGACATAATACCTCCATGATTCATGTTAGAAATATATCAAATTTTGACTCTTAGAGTATTGACAAGTTCATGAAGATATGCAATATTTACAAATCTATTCTCACTTCCACTAAAAATAGTATCTATAATCTTTCTTTCCATAGATAATTCAAACAAATTCAAAAAGTTAAATTAGAGGAGGGTAATTTATAAATTCTAATAAAAATTTCTACCAAGAGGGATAATCCACTCTGTTTAATGAAAAGATTAGTATTAAAAAATAAGATTTTTTGTTTAAAGGTGGATAGTCTGTAATCTTCAAAATACAACAATAGAAGTGAGATAATCCGCTCATTTCTAAAATAAGACAAAAATAGTATGTTAGCACTCTTGTCAAATTATTAAGAACATGAATCTCACAAAAAGAGAATCCTTGATACAGTCTTGTATAACTGAAGAGAACTAAAAAATCATTCAAATGGTAATATAATGTTAACAAGAATGGCTATTGCGAAAAACGAGAAGACTAGAAAGTCTTGAAATAAGACTAAGAACTAAAAAGGCGTTGACAAGAGTGAAGAAGGCTTCACTCTTGCCTCCATATATACTCTTAATTAGGAGCTACGTGGGGATGTTCCATAGGACCTCCAAAACATGTTGACTTTGTTAGCCACATGTTTTAACTTGCAAAGCAAGTTACCTATATATGCGCTACAAAATTAGTTTGTTTCACAAGCTAATGCATGGAATTAACTTGTTCCACAAGCTACCAACACATGGTTAACTTGTTGGCCAAGTTTCTAACCTATAGACACGTCTAAAGTCAAAATCGTATCTATGAAGCTTCTAAGAAGCCTCTCTAGGAGACTTTATAAAATTAATCTATATTTAACTAATTCTACCTAATTATATAAATAACTATTGGAATAAATGTATATATTTGTGATACTTTATAGCATATCATACAAAATTTATACATCTAATCTATATTCAAAAAGATATTTTTAATATTTATTAAAAAATATTATATCTACTTATACATATATATTTTTTAATTTCATTATATTCACTTAATAATCATAATTTTTTGTTAAGTCATCCTTCCTTTTTTTTATATATAATTTTTAAAAAGAGAAGTTAAGATATTTAATAAATTGATAAAACATAAGATTTAAAAAATATTATTTGCTATAATATTGATTGATATGTTTCTTAAACCATCATTATTATTCTATACTTATCTAAGGAGATTGCTTAATTATTTGATTATTGTTCAAGGCCTAATATCAACTTTTAAATATAAAAGAATTGAAATGCTCTTAATCAAAATATGCACCTTTTATATTATTATCAAACACTTAAATTTCTTTTTAAGCTTGTAATAACATGTCAATAGAATCTTGCCATCAATTCAAAAATAAGATATATCTTTTGTAAGTATTTGGATTTTGATTTCATATAAATTGTAACAATCTAAATTGTATACATATTATTTTTGTTGATAACAATTTTTGAGATGAATCAGCTAGATATTCCTTCTCTATCTTATCAAAAGAAAATCTACTAAAAAAATATAATAAAGAATATATATATACATATATATATATATATATATTCTTTGTATCATGATATTATTGAAAATAATCACTCTTTAATTTGAATGGATTTTGTTGATTTTACAAAAAATAAATAAAACTCTACTACTTATTTCAAAGATTCTTGGATAGCTAAGATGTAAACTTAATGTTTTATGTATACATGTATATATATATATATATATATATATATTTCAAATTTTCGTATTCTACTTACATTTAAATTCCACATAAATGAAGAAAATTGCAATGAACAAAAGAATGTGATGTTTTTTTGAAAAATAAAACAAAATGAAATTGTTTTTGTTTGTTTGTTTGTTTTTATTTTAAAGAATACACAAATGATACCGATAGTACGAAATTCTGAGTTCACATTGCAACAAAGAAAGACATTGGAATGAAAGTTAGTGAGCGAGTTTGAAAAGGGGCAGAAACAGGAACAGGACATGGAGGAATCGATGAGCGAGTTCGCTGGATTGCCGTGTCGTGCCGTGAGTTGCCGCTACATGCCGCCAGCACGCCGTGACGTACCGTGCCGCATAGTACCGGAGTCTGCACGGCGGAGGGGGCAAAGCCTCAGGGTGACTGGGTGAAGTGAAGTGGGGAGCATAGTGACCGTGGGTTCCGCGTCAAGCTCCGCCACCCTCTGCTGTCTGAGGTCTCCCTCGTTGCTCCCTCTTATACAATCTCTGAGCTTCCTCCTCCATTCTGGCTTTTCTCATCGTGACCTAATTGCACATGCCATCGCTCGCCCTCAATTTGCCTCAGCCATGGCGCTCGCCACTGCTGTGCGCTGCCTCCCACCATTCCAACCGTCGTCGTTGTCCCTCTCTCGCTCCTTCCTTCTTCGCCCCTTGCCCCAATTCGCCGTCTTCAAATCCGCCCAGAATCGCATCCGATGTGTCAATTCTGGGCATGTGTTAGAGGAGTCAGCGTTTGGGTTCCGGCATGGGCCGATGCGGGTTACATTTCGGCTGCTTGAGGATGAGAGTAAGCGATCGTTGTCGACGTGGGGAATTCGTGACGCAGGAGGTAATTTGAAGAACGGGGTTCAGTGCAGGGCTGTTCCCTCGTCGCCTCCGCCGCCGAAGGAGGCTGCTGTGGAAGTGCCTGTGATTGTTGACGATGATTTGGATGAAGCTGATTCCTCTCTGCTGGCAGTGGTGGAGCAGTTGAAATTGGATGCACCTCTGGCCGTGAAGCTTGCCATTGAAGGGTTCGAGGATTTTGACCAATCTGATACGGTGGAGCTCTCTGTGCTGCTGTGCAGCGACTCCCGCATTCGGGAGCTCAACAAGGAGTGGCGAAGGAAGGATAGTCCCACGGATGTTCTGTCTTTCTCTCAAGACCAGCCTGCAGGTAGTCCTCTGACGCTCTTGGGAGATTTAGTTATATCTGTAGAGACTGCTGCAAGGCAAGCAGAGGAGAGAGGTCACACGCTCATCGACGAGCTGCGGATTCTTTTTGTACATGGCTTGTTGCACGTGCTTGATTATGATCATGAATTGGGACCAGAAGCCTCTAAGGAAATGGAGGAGGAAGAGAATCGCATTCTCAGCGCTCTTGGATGGAAGGTGAAAGGCCTCATTTATTCAAGCTCTGTTGCTTGTGACACTAATGGAAAAACTACGAAGGGCTTGGGTTTAGCAGAGCTTGATTCTGATCGTGACAGTGCGGTGATTTCGAAAACAAAATTCAAGGTTTTGTTCTGCGACATGGATGGGACACTTCTCAACACTAAGAGCAAAATTACTCAAAAGACTGCAGATGCACTTCGAGCAGCCATGGATGCAGGGGTGACGGCAATTATTGCTACAGGGAAAACAAGACCGGCAGCAATGGCAGCGCTAAGACCAGTTGGGCTGGCGGGGGCAGGTGGCTTGCTTTCTGAATCCACACCTGGAGTGTTTCTACAAGGTTTACAAGTGTTCGGAAGGAAAGGGGAAATTATACAGAATATTACACTCGATCTTGGAGTCGTTGCGGAGACGTTCAAGTTCTCGGTTGAGCATCAAGTTCCTCTGGTTGGTTTTACTGGGGATCGTTGTGTGACCTTATTTTCTCATCCCTTGATTGACGAGCTTCATGACATTTATTATGAGCCGAAGGCCGAAGTGCTGGAGAGTGTAGATGAGTTGAAGAAAGTGGGTATTCAGAAGGTTATTTTTCTCGACACTGCAGAGAAGGTGGCTAGTTTTTTGAGACCACATTGGTCTTTGGCATTGAAAGGACGAGCCACTGTGGTGCAAGCTCTTCCTGAGATGATGGAAATACTTCCCTCTGGAGTCTCGAAAGGTTTGGGTGTACAGATTCTTTTGGATCATCTTGATGTGCCAGTTGAAGAGGTAATGGCAATCGGTGATGGTGAAAATGACATTGAGATGCTGGAGTTGGCTGGATGGGGTGTCTCGATGGCAAATGGCGCTGCTCGCACCTTGGCCATTGCGAACGCAGTCACTAGCAGCAACGACGAAGACGGCGTTGCAAGAGCAATTGAAGATTACATTCTTTGAGGAACATTGTTTGAAGAGCTTGAAATCAGGAACTGACAAGCTGATCCTGGTGCCTTCCGGTCATGTTTCCTCTTGTTTCAGATTGTTCTGTGTAGTATAGGAAACCAAATTATGAATACGACTCTTGAATGGGTATGAATTAGTATCCCCACTGTCGTGCAGTATTTGGCGGCACCTACCACAATTGCAGCTCAGTGTTGTAAAACATTTTCAAGACTTCGAGCTGAAGATATACATTGGACTTATAGAAACTAGCAATCCATTCCACATCATTCTTAAGAGTCGGGTCATGATAAAGGAGAAGAGGAAGAATTCATAGGAGGGAGAGATTTTTAGAGTGACAGTAGAGGTCATTGAAGGTGCTACATGGGTTGGTTCTGGAGACTTCATTTTTACACTAAATTGGACATGTGTACACTCATTGGTAATTCTCTTTGGTAAGCTGGAAGTATAAAGGAATCATTCATGGTTATCAATATCCCTGAGCATCTTATGCAGCGGAAGAGTGATGTTCAATCCGCTCAGGATATGGTTGATATGTTTCGGGGACAATGGAAGATGGAAGTTGATAATCAATATGTGCGACTGAGCGTCTTGCGGGTAGATGATGCTAACACTGGCATGTTTAGCTTCTCACTGTTGAATTTGTTCGAGTCCACAAGATTTTTCTGTTATAGCTGGATTAGCTTGTTGTAAACATGATAACCCTCGTAGGAAGGTAAATCCTCTGACAATTTTTTTGTCATGATCTCGTTTCAAGCAGGAGTGAAGCCCTTTTTGTCATGATCTCGTTTCACAGTAGTCGTTTCTCGTCAATCGTCTTCTTTTGGAGATTTTTCCGAGAATTGTCTGAGCCGATTTCTGGCATCAAGAGTTGTGTGGTTAGCAAATGTGATTCCCTTGTAGCACGTCCTTGTCAGTCTCCATATTTTATTTGTGAAAGTTCGGTATTTTAATGCAGCCGAATGGTTTACCTCAGCATTGTGGTTTTCTCCTCTTGTTCTTGGTAAGTTCTGATGAGATGTGTGTCGATTCTTTGTCTCTAAGTGAAGGTGTGTGCTTGAGGGTCTTATTGATTTTAGAGTATCAGCTCAGTGAAAGACAGAGAGGGTACGAGCATTGCTCTTCGCGTGGACTTCGATTTTCAGCACGTCTCTAAATAACCAAGAAGTACAACGCTCCTCTCTACCCCCATGAAGCCTACTTTTCTTTTGTGCATCACGGCGGCGAGGTGCAAAATCCCAATCGCAGTTTTAGAACCAAGGTAGTCCTGGCATTTCAACGGTACATAGTACATAGTAGTGTTTTGGTACACCTGGATGTTTCTGCAGAAACGAAGCACTAAAATAATTTGTCCCGGATTCTGTACAGTTTTAAAAATCAGCCAGCAATGCATCTCTCTTCACAAGTTCTGAACACCTTCGAGTAGGGGTCAATTATCAATCGTAGGAATAAGCAATCTGGAAATTCCAGTTCTTTGATACTTGGAATATCAGCGATATGGCAGGACTCCTTGGAGTTCGCACTATGCGATGGTGGATACGAAGAATCTGTCTCCTTTTTTGGGTGCCTGTGTTTCTTTCAACACACCCTTAGCTTAGTTTGGTGCATTGGAAACCGAACGAAGGATCAAACTTTTTCTCTGAATAAGCTGCATGGACCTCGTCAAAGCCTTCACTCTTTTCATGGGAGTGTGTTTCATTTGAGGGTGTTGGAAGATGTCGTTTCAAGTGCACGAAGACTCGGGTCTAAAGTTGGGTTTTAAGGGAATTTATGCATCTTAAATATTTTTGATTCTGCAACTTATCTGTTCAAGGCATCAGAAATGGACGATGCTTTGTGATTGCCAATGGTCAGAGTTGGCTTGGAAAAGGAGATCAGAACCCCTCTGGATTGCTCAATCAGGAGACTGCTGCAATCAGCTCACTGTGGTAGGATCCAAAGCTAGATAAAGGCCTCCCTCAGATGTAGCTTTGGAAGCTGTCATTCCAGTTGGCCGAGTGTGGACATTATTTACAAGGACCAATTGGATGCCTTAGCTTCAGTGCTGGCACGCAAAGAAGTGAACGATAGTAGGATCTTAACGCTTGGTCCTTTGAGCAGAGAGTACAAAGCACCATGCTTAAATATACGGAATGTTGTAGAATTGGAGGAAGGAAAAACACATATGATGATGATGATGTTTGTTTGTTTTTTTTTTGTTTTTCTTTTCTCTTCTTCTTCTTTAAAAGATGTTTTAATTTAACTACCCTGGTAAAAATCACTGCAGAAAATGATAAACGTGTTTTCAAAGGTACATTAGTTCCAAGGAATTTGCTTAAAAAGAAGAGAATCAAAAACAATTCACTAGTGTAATGTATTTCCAATTTGACAAATAGATAAATTGTTACAATGTTGACATAATATATAAAAACATTGAAGGAATAATAATTAAAAAAACTTCACTATGTCTGCCAAAATATGTATGATGATTTGTATACGACTTTGAAAGCATAAAAACTTATTCTTTTATATATGTATACAATTATCTCTCTGCTATTACATATCATCTTTTGCAAAAAAAAAGTATTAATTATCAAAAGTTATTAATTATCAAAACGACAAATAATACTGGATATCTAGACTCTAGCTGGAATTGGTTTTCAAAATTTTGATTAATTATTGGGAATTAATTATTTAGAGACAAATATATATATTCCAAAGAAACATTTATGAAAATTGTATAAGCTGTTATTTTTTTAATAAAGAATGGTTTCAATGACTATATATTACGTACAAAATAAATCCTATATTTTTATTGATAAGCACGTAAATCTCAAAAACTTTGATGAATATTCAAAAATTTATAAAACATATAAGAATAAAATAAAATGTTTCATCAAAATTATATTTTGAAAGATAATATATTTGATTTGATTAACTCATAAAAAACTATTAATAGATAAGTGAGTTATAAAATAAAAAATTAGACAAAATAAATTAAATACTTATGTTATATAATAAGAACTAAAACTTCAAAAATTAAAATAAATAATAAAAATTCAACGGAAAAAATAAAAAATAAAAATATAGAAGAATAAAATATTTAAAAAAAATTAAAAAAATTAGAATGATATATATAAATATATCTATTCTAACGAATCATATATAAGGTTTTTAAAGAACTTATTTTCTGATAATATAGATAGAAAATAAAATTATTTTGAAAGTTGACATATTACAAATTAAAAAATTAAAATAACACATACTAATATTTATAGTAATTTTAATATAAATACTACTACTAATAATAATAGTTAGAAAAAAGTCACAAAAATTAATACACATAACATATATAACTCTAAAATATATTTAATTTAATAATTATTTTTAATATTTTTTTTAGCAAATACTAAAAGAATATACTTAGATTAAATTAAAATTTTAATTTAAAGCATAGAATTGAATATATATAAAATTTATTTGTAACTTTGTATCTTATAAAATATTTCAAAAAACTAAAATATCTTAATTTTTATTAATAATATAAAAACATTGTACTTACTTAATATAAAATAAAATAAAACTATTTTTATTTTATATAACTACCATCTTTACAATAAAAAATTGTATGTGTTGTAGTCTTTATACATAATATAAGACATATTCTATATATAATTCATCTTTTACAGTTGATTATGCATGAAGAAGTAGAAAAAAGAAAGAAAAAAAGAAAAAAATAGATTTATATTGACTATTTATTATAATAATTATTTTTACCAATCATAAGTATAAAAAAATCTAAATTAAATATTTAATATTTAAATAAAAGAAAAAAATTAACTTAAAAGATTCTAATTCTTAACTCTTTTGCCATTGGCATAGTTTGCATACAATAATTTGATATATTCTTCTATTCAACAAATACCTTTGCTAATTATGGTTATCATCCACAACTTGATATTCTTGACTTTTTAAAAGTTGATAATCTTGTGGTAAAAGATTTAATAAATCTGTTGTCAAAGCTACATACAATAAATAAAAGCTCAAGAATAGCAAAAGACCAACGTAGATGTCTATTGCAAGGAACAACCATAATTCAACATAGATGACAAGGTATGGTTACTTTATCAAAATATCAAGACTACTCGCCCTTGTGACAAGTTAGACGATTATAAGCAACAGGATTGATTTGTTCACAAATAGAAAAAGCTTTTTAGAAGCTTCATAGATATAGTTTTGACTTTAGATATGTTTGTAGGTTAGAAACTTGGCTAATAAGCTAACCACGTATTGGTAGCTTTTAGAACAAGTTAACTTCGTATAATAGCTTGTGAAATAAACCAACTATGTGGCACATACATAGATAACTTGCCTTGCAAGTTTAAGATATGTGGTTAACAAAGTCAACATATTTTGGAGGTCCTATAAGACATTACAATATAGCTTCTAGTTATAAGTATATAAAGAGGGAAGAGTGAAGAAGGCTTTACTCTTGTCAATGCTATTCTAGTCCTTAGTCTTGTTTCAAGACTTTCTAGTCTTTTTATTTTTGGCAATAGCCATTCTAATTAATATTACATTATCTTTAAAGTGACTTTTTAGTTCTCTTTAGTGACACAAGAATATATCAAGGATTCTCTTTTTTTGAGATTTATGTCCCTAATAGTTGCATAGAAGCCTTTTCAATCTTTTTTTTAAAATTTGATGGTAGTAGCAATGTTATTGGTTTAACTTTCTTTGCAATGATCTTCTATTTTGTATTCACCTTCATTTCATACTTATCCACATATTCTTTTATCCCATTATAAAATTACTTATAATATAAATTTATTATTATATCATTATTTTAAAATCTAAATTTAATAATATTTTAAAATTATCTATAGTATTATCAAAGTAAGATTCTTCAAACATCCCTAATATATATTCATCTTCATCAATCACTCCACAATCCTTGATAAAAGATGTTCTCTCAAATTATCTTGATTTTTTTCATGATTTGTATAAAATATTAAAAATTTCACCATCTTCTTTCCATCTTGACTTCTTATTCTTGTATAGGCTTAACCGTTGTTGTGTAGTGGTTCGGCTACTATATAAAAATAATGTAATTATGTACTTAATATATAATTTATTAAGTAACATGGTAATAGCCATGTTAGTAGATTTTAGTTGGTTGTAGAATATAATTTGATTATTACCTTGAGAAGAGGTTGTTTAAAAAGATTACTATAGAATTTGTATAACTTTAATTTCTTTTTGATAATGGCTTTTAAGATTGGTTTTTGTTGATAGTAACTTCTAAATATTTAGAATCATCTTTGTTAGACATTGGTGACCTTTGAAAACTTCTTTTGGTTCTTTTATTTGTTGTTTAGAGCATAAATTATGTAAATCTTATAAGAAAAAGGATTGAAGAAGGATTTTGGTAGCAAAGGGAGTAATTAAGGCACCAATATAGATGAATGGAGATGAATAATGAAAATCTCCATTCCT